AAAAAAAAAAACAAAAACCAGAGGGAATAGAAGCAAATACTGTTGAATGATAATGCACGGAGGAGATTGTAATTGTTGCCATGAAACAACGGATGTAAAACCAATGTTCTCCAATATAAATTATCACTCAATTCACTCAATAAAAACTTAAAAAAAAAAAAAGGATAATGGAATTATTTTCATGAACTTTTCTAAGCTCCCTCATATGATGATGAAGAAACAAATAAAAGATATGCTATTGTTTTAAGGCACCTCATCACATATCCAGGGAATCAAGAAAACTCAGGACGTTACCTTAAAATACAGACATATGGTTCCTACCCCCATGAAGGACTCCTTAAGACTTAAATACTTGCGCACCACCCCACCCCACCCCCACCCCACAGACACACATCTAGCATTCTAGGCAGTCTAAACACATGAGGTGGTCCTAGGACTAACATGCCTTGATGGCAACTAGTTACTGGTTAGGCCATCTAAACCTTTCCACTGCATAGGTGGATCAATAATCTGTACTGGCCACTGCAAGTTCTCTTTTAGGTAAGAAAATTACACCAACCACTAATGAATCACGGCTGCCCTAAACATCAGCCCTCTTCCTCTGATAAGTCACAGTCTCTCTTATTTGGACCCCTTCTTGGGGGACAGTCCCCAGTCCCTACCATAAGCCTGCTTGCAATGAAGAAGTCTCTCATCACACAGTGCCCTACCACTGGCCCCACCAGAGGAGAAACATCTCCAAATACCAGAACCTCAGAAGAGATGCAAGGTGGTCAGTGCTCGCTTACCTGGAGTCTGCTTGGCCGTACGCACAGGGGTGTAGTGGTTTTTGGAGGATGATCTGACCGGCGTGCTCTCTTTGGGAGAGGTATTGATAGCCGAGATGGTTTCTCTTTCACAGTGTGCTATGGGGATTGGTCCTTGTTGCCGTAAGATGTCAGCCAGAGCCCTAAACAAGGAGGAAATCACAGGATGAGATCCACTGAGCAGGTGACCTCAGCCACACACAAAAAAAGTGGCTCACTCTCCGAGCTCCTTTGATTTTCCTGAGCAAAGGGAGAAGGCAGAGGCATGTCATTCAGTTCTCAACTGTCATGGCTTCATCTGGTGCTGTTTCAGTGGGGACACAGGGAAGAGAGGCTGTCAGGCCTGAGGGTATGGGCACTAAAAGGCTATAATTATGATTCCTTTTCTCGCTTTCATTCAGAGCACACGGACAAGTTCTGAGTGCTTTCAAAATACTGACTGTCCAAATACAAATGCACATACTTATATCGGGCAACTAGCTACAGGAGCCAGCCCGTGGAGTATCACTCAGGGTTGAGCTAACTCCTAGGACCTCAAGTTCAGCCATTGTTCATCTCAGGACCCCTAGCATCCTCATCAAAAACAACCACACTGGGTAACCGGTATGAGGTGCTAGTGATGCTAACAGGAACAGTATCCAGTTCTTGCCATTCCAGAAAGGTGTCATCTAGCTGCAAAGCAGGACGTATGGCTAAAAGGGTAAGTATCTGGACACATGAATCATGCATAGTGCATGCAACTCTGCGTTCAGGAAGGAAGTGATTACAAACATTGGGAAAATTACATAGACAGCACTTTCCTCCCACCCTGTAAGAACCAGTCACTCAGAGAAAAGCATTTATTCACTCAACACCTAGCTCCAACACCCCGGTTTAGAGCTATTGAGAACTCGGTATGCTCCGGTCACCGCAGACACATAGGCCAATAGGACACAGTTCTTGCCATCTGTTGTTGTTAGCTGTTGTCCAGTTGGCAGCCAACTCATGGTGACCCCACAATCAACAGAACAAAAGTACTGTCCAGTCCCACGCCACACCCATGATCTGTTTGGGATGTGACTAATATGACCCATAGGGTTTTCATTAACTCATTTTCAGAAGCTGATCACCAGGCCTTTCTTCCTGTTGTTGTTAAGTGTGGTCAAGTCGGTCCTGACTCATAACAACGTTATATAAGGTTTCCAAGGAACAGCTGGTGGGTTTGAACTGCCGACCTTGTGGTTTGCAGTCCAGTGCTAACCCTACAGCACCATACCAGGAGTCCAGGCCTTTCTTCCTAGTCTCTCTTAATCTGGAAGCTCTGCTGAAATCTACATAACATCATAACAGCATGCTGACCTCTGACAGACAGGTGGTGGTTGTGGGTGGAGAGTGCTGGCTGAGAAGGTGAGGGTTTGACCATTAGACCACCAGTCCCTGCCATCAAGGGACTCCTACTTTAAGGGAAATCCCATCCCATCGGTTTCAAACACCCACAGTGTGTGTGTGTAACATATAAGTCAACCACTGTCAGGGATTCACTAAGGAACTGAAGATAACTGTGGACAAGCCACAAGAAGCCACCGTTTGGTGGTTTTAGTTGCAGGTCCGGGTCCAGGTCCAGACCCTGGGGCCTCCCTGAGCCAACCTGCCCCACCTGAGATCCTGCACCTTGCCCTGCCAGCCCCAAGGAGCATTCAAGTCAAGCTTTCGGTGAGCTTCCCGCTTGGAAACTGAAGGCCAGAGCAGTTTAAAAACATGTCTGAGAGAGAATTGTTTTCCTTCCATTATGCCGCGTCTGACACGCTGAACCTTCCTGAGAGAAGAGCACCAGGTTGCCAATCTTATCATTTAGTGGCATTTATATAGCAATTTCAGATTTTCCAAATGCTTTATTCTCCCTGGCTTTCTCTTTCTCAGCCCTGTCAAAGGAGACACAGACACAAATCACCATCCCCATTCACTGGACTCTCTTTGGCGCAGTAAAGGGAACCCTGGGTAGACTTGGAGAACAGGCTACAGGCCCAAGCTTGGGAACAAATAGAAATATGACCCTATAAAAGTAGAGGATCTGGGTTCTAACCCCAGCTCTATCACTAACTAGCCTTTAAAGCATTGGGCAGGTTGGGCAGCCTTTGAAATGGACATTTAACCTTGTGGACATTCAACAAAACAAAAAAAGTTTAAACTAAGGCGTCTTTTAAGATTCCTTCTAATTCTAAACTCGGATAACTTCCTTGTTGTTACTAAGTGCCGTGGAGTAGCTTCCAATTCATAGTAACCATGCATAGGGTTTCCAAGAAGTGGCTGGTGGATGTAAACCACCAACCTTGGGGTTATCGGTCCAGTGCTTAGCCTCAAGTGCCACACAGGAGTCCTAAGAACTCAATGTTGTTGTTTAGTGTCCTTGAGTCACCTCTGACTCAGAGCGACCCTGTAAATGGTTTCCAAAGAACCGCTGGTGAGTTTGAGCCACTGACCTTGAGGATCAAATTAACCCTCTATGCTGTTGTTGTTGTTGTTAAGTGCTGTCGAGTTGGCTCTGACCCACAGCGACCCTGTAGAGGGTTTCTGAGGAGCAGCAGGTGAGCTTGAACCGCCAACCTTGCAGTTCAAAACAATCTAGCGCATTAACTCAGAGCACCACACCAGGATTCCAACAACTCTATTGCTGCTGCTGTTAAGTGCCATCAAGTAGGTTCCGACCCATAGTGACACAGTGTAGGGTTTCCCAGGAGCTACTGGTGAATTTGAACCACCAACCTTGTGGTTCAAATGACTTTGCAGTCCAGTGCTTTAGCCCACAGTGCCACACCAGGACTCCAACTCTATGTTGGTTTCCAAGGCTCTAACTCTTTATAGAAGCAGACAACCTCATTTGGTTCCTGTGGAGCAGCTGGTAGGTTTGAACTGTAGATGTTTCAGTTAGCAGCCAAGTACTTAATCAATGCACCAATGTGGATCCTTTCACACCCAAGGTAAGCACTGGACTGTTAACCCCAAAGTTCCTGTGAGACAGATCCCACTTGATGACATTTAACAACAATAGTAAGATAGCTATAGAGCGGGAGTGGAGTGTGGGACCCTATTTGGAGAAGCAATGATACCAGAGATAGAGGCAGAGATGAAGATGTGGAGAGAGAGAGCAGATGAGGACTCTAGACTCACGGAGCCAGAGGGGCTGTGTGCCCTCAAGGGGGCAGACTTGCAGGGTGTGTCCTTTGATTGTTTGAATGATTGTATATTTCTGAGTGTTTTGGTGTACATCCAAAAACAAAAACAAAGACAGAAAAATGGAATAGAAGCAAATACTGTTGAATGATGATGCATGGAGGGGGACTGTAATCATTGCAATGAAACAAAATACGGTAAAATGAATGTAAAACTGATGTTCTCCCATGTAAACTATCACTCAATTTTCTGTAAAAAGTTTTTTTAAAAAAATGTGTTGGTGAGGATGTGGAGAAACTAGAATCCCTATATACTACTGGTGAGAATATAAAATGGTACATCTCCTTTGGAAAACAGTTTGGCAGTTCCCTTTCAAAATGTTAAACCATATGAACTAGCAACTCTATCCCTGGACTACAGAAAGCGTATATCCACATGTTAATGTGTGTTTGAATGTGCACAGCATCATTTTTCATAATAAAAAACCAAAAACTGTCTATTAACAAATGACTGAATAAACAAAATATGGCCTAGCCCACATAATAGGTTATCATTCAGCCATGAAAAGGAATAGATACAAACACTTGCTACAACACAGAGGAAACTTACAAAACGTTGCGCTGTAGCAAATGAACCAAATACAAGAGGCCACATAGTGTCGCTACCATTTGTGTGGGATTATCAACAGGAGGCATAGCCTCAGACAGAAAGTGGGTGTTTTTAGCAGCGGCTGGGTAGTTACTAGGGTAGGGAGTGACTGCTAATGGGCGTGACGTTTTTGGGGAGTTGGGAAGGAGAGATGAAAATGTTCTAACATTAGTGGTGATGGCTGTACAACTCTGTAAATATGGTTTTAAATCACACAATTGTACACTTTAAAACTAAGGATGAATTTTGTGATATGTGAATTGTGTGGCACTTTAAGATAAGCACTGGACTGCTAACCACAAGGTCAGTGGTTCAAACTCACCAGCCCCACCTTGGAAACCTTATATAGCAGGGGTAGGGAATGTCTAACCCACAGACTGTATAAAACTTGTGAAATCATTTGGTCTGGCCCTGCCTAAGGCAACTGCAGTCCCAGCTATTACATTGTTGTTGTTAAATGCCACTGAGTCAGTTTCCACTCAAAGCAACCCTGAATAGGGTTTCCGAGGAGTGGCTAGTGGGTTTGAACTGCCGATCTTGTGGTTCAAAGTCCAGTGCTGATCCTGGCTATCACAATGGGTGGTGGTGTGTTGTGGACTTGGTTCCGACTCATAGAGACCCGGCTCAAGGTTTTTGAGGTTGCAAATCTTTACAGGAGCAGAAAGCCTCATCTTTCTCCCATGGAACAGCTGGTAGTTTCGAACTGCTGACCTTGAAGTTGGATGCCCCACTTGTAACCACTACGCTACCAGAGCTCCTGATCATCACATTGTTGTTGTTATGTGCCGTGACATCGGTTCTGACTCATAGTGACCCTGCATAGGATTTCCAAGGCTGTAAATCTTTACAGTAGCAGAAAGCCTCATCTTTCTCTCGCCGAACAGCTGATAGTTTCGAACTGCTGATTGTGAGATTAGCAACCCTATTCATAACCACTACATTACCAGGCCTACTGATCATCACATTGTTGTTGTTGGTATGTGCTGTGGAGTCAGTTCCAACTCATGGTGACCCTGCACAGGGTTTCTGAGGCTGTAAATCTTTACAGGAGCAGAAAACCTCATCTTTCTCCCACGGAACAGCTGGTAGTTTCGAACTGCTGACCTTGAAGTTGGCAGCCCGACTCGTAACCACTAAGGTTCCAGAGCTCCTTGATCATCACATAGTTGTTGTTGTTGGTGTTGTTAGGTGCCATCGAGTCGGCACCAACTCATAGTGACCTTATGCACAGCAGAATGAAACAATGTCCGATCCTGGGCCAATCTCACTACTGTTGCCATGCTTGAGTCCATCGAAGCTGCCACCTGGCCAATCCATCTCATTGGGGGTCTTCCTTTTCTCTGAC